GTTTTTTGAAATGATGGGGAGATGCTAACAGAGTGCAACGTGCTTACAATCCAGTCATTTTGATTTATTTTTGATGAACAATCAACAATGAACAACAGATAGCTTTCTATATATATGTATCTACATCTGGTACTTGCCTGTCTCTCGTCCTACTTATATACGTACTTTCATCTGTTTCTTGTGTTACTGTAACACTTCCTTTTAGCCTTGAGGATTAATGAAGTCATTTTAAAATTATGTTAATCTAATCTAATGGCACCCAGTAGTTCAAAATCTGGAGTTATTTTGGCATTTAAAGTGCGCTGGTTTAGTTTACAAATGTGTTGCAGATGAACACTGCCTAACTACAGATGGTAGCGGAAAATTGGACTTATTGTTTGTATTTTTATGCAAAAATAGTAAACTATTACGTTTTAGGTGTCAAAAATTTTTATTTTTATTTTAAAGCTGTAGATTTTCATCAGGTTGTTATTACAGTACTTGCTTACAGGGTCTTTTTCCCTTTAAGGAACAACTACTTAAAACTTACTGAAAGCTACTTAAACCACTATAAATAATAATATATATATTAACATCTGGTCAAAAGACTACATGTACAGTATGTAAAGGGATTAGTGACAAAAGGGAACTATTTCCCATCTCCAACTGCATTTCCCCTCAGTTCTACAAAGCCTTTGTAACATCGTTTAAGCTCACTGTTTTGTTCTCCACTTTCACTGCTCTTATCAGCATCATTTCTGGATGCAGAAGGCAGCTGTTTAAGTAAAAGCCTCTGATGTCTGCATTATTTGCTAAAAACTCTAGTTGGCCACTATAATTAAGGTTTCAATTTCAGCCTACCTACTATTTGGTGAAAGGATAGCACAGAAAATGTGCTGGTGCCATAAATGAATGTAAAATGTCACCAGATTTTATTATTTTATCTGAACACTTTTGAAAGAAGGATGTAAGTTCCTCTTTAACAGCAGAAGATGACTTGTTGCTTTTCTACACCTGTGATACACTGTTCAGATCACCATCAAAGCCACATCACCAGAGCAGATTATAGAATTGAACCTCAGAATTGAAAGAACTGAGTTCTCCTTCAGCACTCCGATAAAGTAAACCCTGTATTTCAGAACCACTATTATCTGTTTAGATCAGGCATTCACACAGCGAGTATTTTCTAGTTGATTGTGTTCATACAAATCGCTCAATCTTCCTTTCAACATGTTCAGAAAAGCCGACTCTCAAAGCAGGATCAGACTCCCTATCAGCAGTGCCAAACAGACGGATACCAATAAGAGATCTCCTTACTTAATGTCTCTCTTGTTCTAATTTCACCACAGGCCACAGTTTACTCTGTCCAACCCCGTAAAAAGGCTGTGGCTGCAAAACATCTAAATAAAAATCACAACCAGGTTTAATGTGGAAGCCTTACAGCCACTAGAGGGATTCCAGTATTGCTCAATGTGTGGGAAGGGAGACAAATTAAAACCTTGTATCTCAATAGAGTCATCTCTGCTGGAACAAAAGCTATTTTTTGCAGTCTGAGAACTTTTGTTTTTACCATGTCAGCTCGCCAGACATTTTGTTACACAAAGGATAAAAGCACGTGAGTTTAAAACCTACATAGAGACACAATATTACAGTTACAAAGACTTCACGAATACCATGAAGAACAATCTCCATGGAAACTGAGTTTGATCAGTAAAAATATAACTTCAAAAAATACAAAATAGTATAATTGAAAAAACAAAATTATAAAAACTGTGAAATAAAACCTTACACAATGTTGGTGCATTTCATGTCACAAATCCATGCATCATATTTCCTATTCTGGCTAACCACTTTCATTTTAGGCTTTTCGCTGATGGTGCTCCTACCCTGATCAACTTACAAGCAGCAGCAAGATTTAGTGTCTTGCTCAAAAGTACTTCAGAGATGGCTCCATTAACTGCTGCATAGATCAAACCTGTGACCTTTCCTTTATGGGTTCTTTCTAACCGTTAGGCCACCCTGAATGCTGGAAAGAAAAAAACACTCCTGTTACAGAGACATGAGGTTGTCGTTCAAAAGCGGTGTGCACATAATACTTTGGGCATGTGTTCATGCTGCACTTCTAAAGTTTTTAGTTCATCAGGGAATGCTCTCTTTTCAATAGGGATTCGGACTGATGAAGATATCTTTAAATGATTTCCTGGGCAAAATATTAAATGCTTTTGAAAGTGCTCCTAGAAACATCATGAAGAGACTTGTCAAAGAAACATCTGGGGTTCTTATACTGGTGTCACCCAAAGAACCCCAAAGGCTCTTTTACTTTTTAGAGTGTACAAAAACAAAGTTTTTTTCCAGTACATAAAACTGCATCTTTGATCTGGTAATGAAGGGTGCAGTGAGTCAGTCAGTAAATCAGATTTACTTTAGAAGAAAATTAGTCTAAATAGAGACATGACATTAAGCATTAAAGTTGCTCTGGATAAAGGGGATGGAGAGACAGGGCAAACACGAGAGGATAACATGCAACAAAGGTTGTGAGTCAAAGTCAAAGCCACAACAGTACGACCACATGCTGTGCACTTCTGGCCTACGGAGCTAATACACTCAAATATATGTATGTATTGAAATAAAATGAGCATTTTATTTATCTTATATGCAACTTGGCCATACTGAGGCAATCAAATTATCTGTTTATTTTTATTGTATTTTTAGTTAAAAGAAAACACTTTAATCCTACAATTGCTGTTGAAGTTGTAAATGTAATTTTTAAATATATATGAGGGTATTCATAGATTTCACTTTAGTGGAGGCACCCTATACTTCATGCTTGCTGAACTTTTAAGAGAATTGGCTTGTTAAAGAAAACAAAGAAGTAAATAATTTTCATAATGAGGATGTTTGCTTTCAAGTGATATCGTTTACCAAATCCTGTCTCCTAGAAAATTACATTTATATGCCACTAATTTGCAACAGCAAATACATTTTGAAATACACATAATGCCGCCCAGATTACATGTTTTTATCAGCATAACGAGGAAATGTTGTTCATTAACATTTTTGCCAAGTCGCAAATTGTTGATACTGAACATATTAGCAACATTTTCACAAACAACTTCAATTTCATTTTCAGTATCCGCTCTTGGAATACACTCCACTCGTAACAACTAAAGCATGATAACACTTTTCTTATGGTTATGTTAAGGCACTCGCAGCTCTCTGTTAAAGTCCGGGAAACTGACTTTCCCAAGTTTAACCATCATGTTTTTGCTGCTTAAGCAACATGCAAGACTGAGGATGCAAACGCCAGATTTTGGTGTCAAAGTCCTACACGTTGTACACCTGCCATCCACCCCGAATCATGTGCAGTAAATGAATATAGTGTACAGATCACGGTGTATATAATTTTAAAATTAAGGCTGTAATATATATTGTTAAGAAATCACTTAGATAAAATATAAATGTATTTTTGACTTATACAATGCATTTAATGCAAATCAAGGTACAAATCAAGGCATCCTGTTCATTTATATAGAAACCTGCTCATTGATATAATTATAGATATTACACATCTGTATGAAAACGATCAGAATGTCTACTAGCAGACAAATCTCTATCACCTCACAGTATACTGTATTGTCATATCGTCCAGCTCCTACAGATACAGAATTGCTGACCGGTCAGTTACAGGTCCATGTCACAGTCTTGCTTATCTGATGGGAATGAATGGATATATCTGGCTGGCAACTGGCAGGGGGTAGCACAGTAAAGGCTCTCTCTTCATGCAGGATAGATAAATGCATACATTTATTACTTGTAAATATGTAACCAGATATGTTGACTAGCAGTACCTCCTCTTTCACAATAACTATAGTTGGCTCTTCTACAGGTGTTATGCTGACAGGTGGCTATGAGAGAAACCTACCCAAATCTTCACAACACCTAAGGGGGAGATGAACTGTAGATAATGAGAAGCACATTTTTGGAGGGTTATGTAATATTTAAGCATCCCATATACATATATATATTAGCAGTAATCAGAAATTCCTAAAGGCTTGAAGACAGACGCCTGTACATTTGAGAAAGGGTAGGGATGATTCATCCAATATCCTTTATTTTAACAGGCCTAACCTAAGAGTTTGATTGGCCTTACACACATACACTATATCTATAACTACACTGTCTTTCATACAACCGCTTCATCTCAGACCTATGAATCACAGATTTCCTCCGTACCTGACTCCTTACCTAAACAGGCGCAACAAATCGATTGCAAAACATGGTAGGCTATAATCAAATTTTAAACTCTCAGCTATGCTCTTCTCCAGCTGTTTTTGTCCTCTCAGGGTGGTCAAATTAAGTTTACTGACTGCTCGCATTTAATAGCATTGCCACAGAAAACAATGCTGCCCAGTAAAGACGGATAATAAAAAGAAGAGACTGAACAACAATAGATAGAGCCAGGAGGAGGGGGCTAAAGATCAAGCTGGAAATATGGAACCACTTAGGCCCTGAGAGCACACCCTATAAAGGGTTAAAGATGGCTACGGGATAAGTGGAGCTCGTTTATCGCAAATTTGACAGTGGTAGTTAAATGGTGAGTTTTCCCTCCAAGCTGCCAGTCTGGGGAAGCAGACGGGGCTCTCTGCTCTGCTCACCTCCGTTCTTTCCGAGTCTCCTGTGCTCTTATTTTGTTGTGTATGGCCGCCTGTCTCCTCATCTTAGCCCCAAATCTTCTGCGTGAATCAGGACAAAGGAGAAGAGGATTTTCTCTTCTGTCTCTCCTCTATTCTCTCACATTTACACTCATTTTCGTTTTCATCGCTGCTTTGGGCCTGCAAGATTATCTTCTCCACTTCATCTCCATCCTTCCCATCATCTTTTAAAACCCTCTGCCTTTACCCTTTTCCCTTCTTGTCTCATTCTGTCCCTCGCTGTGGAAGTAAATCTTCAACCTGCCACTCCTGGAGACCTTGCAGATGCCCGCAGCCCGGCGCTGAAGCGGGCGCTTGCCAGCAGCCCAGATGCATTTGCGACTCTTTGCCATTGTCATATCCTTGCTATGTGAGGTGATCAGGATGGGGTCTGGTGTCGTGCAGAAGCAAAGTGGTGAGTACACTTAAAGAGTCTTTAAAGAGGATTTTGGGGTTGCACCTTTAAAATAAAACTTTCTGCAGTCACTTGTTTTAAACTTTCTCATCTCTGACTGGACATTGTCATTATAAAATAGATCCACTACAATTCCACAGTGTGGTATAATACCTTGAGGAGACAGTCTAACATAACGTTTTTAAAAAGTAGTTTTTTATCAAATGAAATGTAAATTAGAATTGCAAAAGTAACCACATGTTTAGATAGCAAGAAAAAGAGCTGAAGCTGACATCCTTTTCATTCAGTATTTTTATAATAAAAGAGCAAAAACAGGTTTCTTAGTATAGGATGTCTCTTCACTATATGCCGTATTGTTAGGTGATTTAAAATGTAAGAAACAAAAAAAAAAACAATAACTTTCATTTAGCCGACCTAATCCAGGATAAATGACAGTAAATGTAGAGGAAGAGGTTCAGTGCCTTGATCAGTAGCCCCACAGCATAAACACTGACCAATAATATTTGTCATAACAGCTTTTCCTTCCAGTGCTCCAAATCCAGGAATCAAACCATTTCTCCGCAGGACAAGTTGACTCTGGATAATTTTTTCCGCATGTCTCTCAGTTATCTGAAATGTCATGTTGCTCCTTGTTAAACTCTGTACCAGCAGACACTTCACAGTGGTTGGAGATTCTCCTCAAATCCAGATTTGTGGCTAATTAGTCCTTATAAAATCCAACTGCTCCCCACTCCACCTCACCCCACTCCGCCTCCCCAAAAGAAAAAACAGTCCTGACCACAGACGTACAGGTATGCAGTGACCCTCACGCTCACCAGAGTCTGGCATTTCCTCAAGAATTTAAGACTAATAGAGGGGGATCCGGTCTCAATTACACCATCATTTTGGCTTCCCATGTTTCCACACAGTCCCCGTCAGCCGGCCAGAGGTGAGACGTTAGATAATGATTAGAGGGGCTGCATGGAGCCATTAGGAACCACGGACTCTCATTCAAAATAACAGTTTGTGACAGCAAGATTACTGTTTCAAATTTAGCAGGTTTAACAAAGTCAGACAGACAGTTACCAAAGAAGAATACATATAATACAACTTTAAAATTTGTAATTAAATATTTGAATCATAATTCTAATTAATAGGCTAATATAATATTAATAACTCATCATAAAGACATCTGTTACTAAAAAGACTAGAATTACAGACGTCTTACAAAATAACTGCTGATTCAAAATTACATAATTTTCTGGAAATCCAAGAATGAATGTGTAATATGTTAAAAACTACTAACTGGAATTTTGCTCATTTATACAAGTCAGTCTTTAGGTGATTAGGCGACTTGGATAAATGTTAAAAATAGTAAATTTGTGTAAAGCTGTAAAAGATCAGAATTGTTGGGAAATGATTGTCGCCTATAATTATACAAAATTACTCAATTTGATGTTAATAGATCAGAACAGCTTGAAGTTAGATATCAATTTTAGGTCTAAAGGGTCAAATGCTGGTTGTGGGCACAACAGATTGACCCGCTGTCAGAATTCATCATTTCACATCGGAGATTTACAACCCCCCAAAGCCCCCTTTTTTCACACACAAAAAGTATCTCAGAGCGGGAAAACTGTAGAAGTCAGGAGGTGAACCAATTATTAGTGCTATTCATGTTTCTGTAAGATTCTGTAAGGTTACTCTAGGTAATTGGGACCACATGTGATTGTTTTACACGAGAATTCAGAGGGAGTGAGGAAAAAAACTGATCACAATTTGAGATAAAATGCTTCCCTGGTTGAGTAGAGACAGGTTCAAATACCGTCAATCTGCTGTTTTTGCATGTACTCCTCCTACTATTCGGGTTAACATGGTGGTCCAATCCATAACCACTCAACAATTATAATACATAACTCAGATTTCACCATTTGCCTCTTAATAATAAATACTCAAAGTTGATTATATTTAGTATTTTGTGTTGTAAACAGCACTGAGCAGTGTCTAAATGTTTAAAATGTAAAGCTTGTGGACATTATTTTGCAAATTATTACAAATATATCTGTCCCCAAGTTAAAGTTTTGAAATTGGTTCATTTTTGCAATCAAGTAAAAACCTCAAAACTTAAATTTTGCTGATTGTCAAGCTTAAATTTTGAAGAGACAATCTGCAATAACTGGAGTGAATCTTGTGGATGCCTTAAATATTTCCTCGAGGAACTAGCCTACTATTTCAGTCTTACAGCATACTGTATGGGTTTGATTCTGAAAAGAAGAGTGTGTTTCAGTTATTTATTTGTGTTTAATCTTATGCATTTAGCTCATATACCTCCGGGTTCAGGTGGGAAGTTCATCTTGGGCGCAAAATGCAAAGAGACTAAAGAGGGAGTGTAATCAGGTACAGGTGTTGTAGCTGGGGGAAGCATAGTTTCTGGCTGTGCTCATGTTTGTGCTCAATGTGGAAAAGTTTGGACTTTGCAGCAATAACGTAGGTGAGTTTAGAAATCATTTGTAAAATAATCTTGTTTAAATGCACATTAAAAATAAATCAGTTTTGTGTTTTGCAGTCCACACAAACAACCAAAGGACATGTTGTCTAGCTGGGGAATCAAGACAATGTGTGGGAGGTGTGGTTGTGTGTGTTTGTGCAACAGCTCAGACGGTTGATGTCAAAACATCAGCAACAGTTTCCTTTTATTTTCCAGCAGACCCTCTCTGATTCGCTAGTCTCTCTGTAAATGTATTGAGAAATACTTGCACAACCGAAACATTACATGGCTGCGTCGCTTAAAGGTCCAGTACGTAGGATTGAGTGACATCTAGCGGTGTAGTTACAGATTGCAACTCACTTACTTCACTCTGCCTTTTGAAGCATAAAGAATTAGGGGTAGTAGGACGGAGAAAGGAGAAATTACAGTGATGGCGAAATGTGCGAAGAACACAAATGGTCCAAACTGGAGCCAGTGCTTGGTTTGTCCATTCTGGGCTACTGTAGAAACATGCTGGTTCAACATGGCGGCCACCAAGGAAGGCAGTCTGCGTCATCTATAAATAAAAACGCCTCATTCTAAGGTAACGAAAACTTTTCAGGTGATTATACACTAATAAAAACAAAGCGGTGAATATTATGTTCCACTTCTGCCAAGAGAGCCTCCTAAATGTTACAAACTGGACCTTAATTTAAAGTCAAGGCTGGCCCATGATGATTTGTTACACAAAACCATCTGCGAAGTAAACATTTCAAAAGTCGCTTTCAAAAAATACTTGGCAGGTGATTGGACGTCCATCCATCTATCAGCGAACTTCAACCAATCAGATCAACGAATCATATAATGTAGTCAAACTCCTACCGACCAGTCGGGAGAGGTTCATTGCTGTTCTTTGCTCTTCTTTCAATGAAGAAATACTCTCCAGTTCTGATATAACTGATGCTAGCAGCATCTATGCTAACCTCTTTAGCAGCTGCCATTGTTCTTTT